TATGTCTCTTAACGGTTCCTCGTCTTAACACGTGTACAACAGTGTAAGTCATATATTCTATATAATAATGATTAGTAACTTTGATCAGATTCCGAATTTGCCCCAAAGGGATCCATGAGGGTTTTGAGTTAATGTTGATGGAAAGCCTTAATCTTTTATTTGTTTTTCATAACTCGAAAACCGAATTCATCAAAACATCATGAATTCAAGAAGAGATATGTACAGAAAAAAAAGCGCAAGTATAGTCATGGCACATAATAGCCATTACACAGAACTATCCAAGATTGGGTGGCTCAATCGATAAGGAAGAGAGCAAAGCTCATTCCCAACTTGGATTCGAATCCTCATTTGGAGAGGGGTATTCACATGGACTTCTCTAATCCTCTGAGAGATGTAGTCGGTCAAAGGCAAGTGAACTTTCGGATTATAAAAAATGCCATTACACAGAACCTTGCAAGTCTCCAGTGTTCACAACCCAAACATTCCATTAATTATCATAACTGAACCAAGATTCAGACATAAACATAAGACGATGGATTGGATCCACATGAAGAATCTACATAGATGTTGTTTCTGGAGCACTAGGCCCAATGCTAGTCACTCATGGTGTTTCCACAGGATGTTGAAACACGCTTGACAGTAAGGGCTTTTATCCGAATTAACCTAGAAAATGGAATGACGATTGGTGCCCGCTTGGTTTATTGTTGGACTCATTTGGCCCCTTAGGACCCTAAAGATTGGGCATCCCGCTCTAAGTGAAAGTAGCTGATCTTTATCGTGATGGAGCATGGAGATTATCATCAGTGCGCTCGGTTGAGGCTCTCTTGCTAGTTGTTTATTTGACTGGAAAAACACTATCCAACCGCAATGATACACGTGACTGGATAGTCGGGGGTAAAATATCAGATTGTTTTTCGACCAAGGAGGTATATAAAGCTATCTCTCCTACCTCGGTTACTTACGTTCTATACACCTAAATTCTCATTTATAGCATGGTTATTTTGCCCATGATCATTGTCCAACTAAGGAAAGGTTGGCTTCATGGGGGCTATCGGTGGACTTGAAATGCCTCCTCTGTGGTAGTATTATGGAAATCAGAAGTCATCTCTTCTTTGAGTGTCGTGCTACTAAAGAATTGTTCACATGGGCTATGGGAAAATGGGGTAATTCGCCTACACACTACTTGGACCGATATTTTGGACTGGCTGCTAGGGCGATGGGATTCCAAAATCAGACTATTGGGAGCAGAACTTACTTGGCAAACGATTGTTTATATTGTATGGATGAAGCAGAATTCACAACTGCATTCAGGAAATCACAAGGACATCTCAATCATCCGCCGAGATATTGATCGGTGTTTCCGAAACAAGATAGCGGTCATTAGACTATCAAGCAATCTAATGGCAAGCTCTTTATTACAATTATGATTCTCCACCCCGTGACAGATCCTTTCAAGGAAGGTTGAGGTTTCTACAGGTCTATTGCTTTGCTAAACATGTTTTTTCTTAGGACAGTTTTTTGTAAGATTTCTTGGTTACTGCCTATCCCTTTTGTAAAGTGACTCGTCTCTTGTAACTCTTGCTCATATATATAATTATATACTCCTTTTAACAAAAAAAATATAAGACGATGGAAACCATGAAAAGAAGATACCAGAAGAGACGAAGCCATATATATATATATATATGGAAATATATATCAATTCATAAGTATATATCATATCGAATTCTATGCAATAACATGTGATATAGTTTCATACTAAACCATCAAACATATGGTTAGAAGACGAAATTAGATTAAACGGATGATTTAGTAGACAAAATTGTTTGTTAAAGGGATCCATTTGCGCAGAAAATTTCTAAATTTCTTTCAATCAATTTTCTAAATATCCGGTAAATGTCTTTTAAGTATATAGAATTAAACAGAATTCAGATCATGATTTACTACTCTAAAAAATCTATTAGATATGATTTTTCTTCAAAACGAATGAATTAAACCATACCAAATATGAAAATATATAAACCCGAAAAATCAATTCAAAAACGAAAAATTCATTAAAAATCGAATTGAACCGAATCATGGATATATATAAAAAGCCGAATTGATATTACTTTTTCTAAGCAAAATAAAAATAAAAATAAAAACTAAAAGGCTAAAATAACAATCAGATCTCCTGACTTCGACTATCAGTTATACGATTAACGAAAACGCTACATAAGATTGCAGATTTTTACCGCACAAAGAAAACAAATCATTAACAAATGGAAGATCTGCTCACCATTTAATATATATATGAATCATTGACTGTAGATAATTTAACTATGTTTGGAAACTTTTTCCATATTTAATAAGATTCTGCTATAAATGAGGTCATCATATCCCTGCAATCTTTGAAATAGGAAACATATCAATATTAGCCAAGAACTGGTAACAAGAATCCTGCCTCTGATTTATCTTTCCTATAATAGGCCATTCACATTCATTGGTATATAATATACAATCCTCTGGGACTAGATTTTTCATTTCTTACAAAAAAAAAACATTTCGGTAGAACTCACTGTACGGAGAGAGAGAGAGAGAGAGAGAGAGAGAGAGAGAAAGAAGATCATTGAGCTTAGTTACAGGACGACAAATGGCATTCATTCATGGGTTTGGTGTTTTGTGTCTGTCTCTTTTTGTCGTCGCCGTCGCAAGTGTTCAAGCCGCCGGTCCGAAGGTTTTCGATGTCCGAAAGTACGGTGCTCGTGGCGACGGAAGAACCGATAACACCAATGTACCAAAACTTTCACTCTCGTCTCTTGTTAAGTTTTTTTTATATATTCTATATTCGAAAATACTAGTTTGTTTTGCTTATAATACCATTTTCCGTAATTATTTAATCTTGTTTTTGTGTATGTTTATGTATATATAGGCCTTCACAAAAGCATGGAAAGACGCATGCCGATGGAAAGGGCGATCTAGGGTTTATGTCCCTGTCGGAACGTTCTATTTGAAAGAAGGAACGTTCATAGGGCCATGCAAAAATTATATTAACTTCGTCATAAAGGGCACGTTGTTGGCTCCGAAGAACCCCGACCAGATAAAACGTGACACGTGGATCATTTTCCGGTACGTCGATCACCTCACCGTCTCCGGCGGCGGAACCCTCGACGGCCAAGGCGCTCACTCTTGGCCTCTCAATGACTGCCACAAGAACCCCAACTGCCGTACTCTCTCCATGGTAATTAATTTCCAACTTAACCGAACCCTCTGTCTTATGCAGAGTCTTTCGGGGAAACTCACTCTGAAATCCGGTTTTGCAGAACATAGGGTTCCAATTCGTGAAGCATTCTATAGTGAATCGGATAAAATCGGTGAACAGCAAGGCGGGACACTTCAATGTCTTCTCCGTCGAAAATTTCAACATCACCAAAGTCACCATTACCGCTCCTGGTGACAGCCCAAACACAGACGGTATCAAGATCGGTTACTCGAGCCGCGTACGTATCGCTAACTCCAGGATCGGCACGGGCGATGACTGTATCGCCATCCTCAGTGGAACCACCGATATCGATATATCAAAAGTGAAGTGCGGTCCGGGACACGGGATTAGCGTCGGGAGCCTGGGGAAGAACAAGAAAGAGAAGGATGTCAAGGGCTTGAGAGTTAGGAACACGGTTTTCAATGGTACGAGCGATGGAGTAAGGATCAAGACCTGGGCATCCTCGGCTTCTCAGATCGTTGTCTCGGATTTCTTGTACGAGAATCTGCGGATGATCGATGTCGGATATCCCATCAACATCGATCAGGAGTACTGTCCTCATCCCCCGTGTTCCGAAAACGTAAGAGTTCTATTTCGTTCATATACAAGTCTTTCAAAGACATTTGCCTTTAGGATTTAGACAAGAGTTGACCTAATGTACTTAATCTTGTCCGAGAATTTCGTTAACGAGTTTGTCTACTTGTATTTTTTTGAACAGTCGCCGTCTCATGTTCAGATCCAACGAGTGAAGTTCAACAACATATGGGGAACATCCTCAAGGAAAGAGGCAGTAAAATTGGAATGCAGCCGTAGATTCCCGTGCAGGAAAATCGAGCTTTACGACATCAACCTCGTCCACAAAGGACCCAACGGCCCTGCCACCGCGATCTGCAATAACGTCAGAGCCTCCACGGGGGGAAAGATGGTCCCTCCGGCTTGTGTTCGTTGATTCAGACCGGAAACAAACAATGTCGTGTCGTCTGTTATATTGTCTCCTCATGCGCACCTGATGGGTTCAAAGTCTTATGTTCATGTATCGCATGCTCGTATCGGAGTTAGTCATATTCTGTATTGGTTGGTTAGTAACTTTGATCAGATCCGAAATTTTTCCAAAGGGATCATCTAATGTAGCTCAATGCCCTAATCCTTTACTTGTTTTACATAAATACGAAAATCGAATTCATCAATACATCGAGTTCAAGAGAGAGATATGTACAGAAAAGAAAGGCGGGAGTAGCCATGGCACATGATAACCATTACACAGAATCTTGCAAGTATCTAGTGTTCACAACCCAAACATTCCGTTAATTATCAGAACAGAACCAAGATTCAGACAGAAACATAAGAGGAAAGATACCATGAAAAGAGATACCTGCAGAGACAGCCACACATACTGTGTCAAAGTTTCCATTCTTGGATCTTGATTTCTCGGGTTCTTGTTTGGTAGCGATTGATATCTATAGCCTTGGAGCCAGGCGTGGCTGAGGAGCGTCCCAGTCGGTGATGATGTGGTTGCGAGTGATTTCCTTCAGAGAAGTGCATCCACTGAGAGCCATCGTCAGCTCGAACTCTTCCCTCAACATCTGGAGCACTTTTCTCACTCCGGCTTCTCCTTCAGCCGCCAAGGAGAACACCACGGGCCTTCCGATCTGAGATGGCAAAATGTACATTCGTGCAAATCCGTCATATGTAACAGTTTAGAACGACGGGTTTCTTGCGTTACGGGTTTTCTTTTTTGATATATATGTTGATGAATCTGAAGTTACACTTTAGGTGAAGGGTGGAAGGGTTTATGCCACAATACTCACAAATATGCCGGAGGCCCCAAGAGCAAGGGCCTTGAAAACATCGGTTCCACGTCGGACACCACCGTCCAAGAACACAGGAATCCTGCCTTGAACAGCTTTAACAACCTGCGAAAACACATTACAGATGCAATGAATCGAGAAACCGGGTTCTTTACAATGTTTTCTGGTACATATCCTGCTCGAAAAATCACAGAAAACACCCTCAAACCTTACCTCTTCAAGGGCCATGATCGTTGCGGGAACGTAGTCTAGCTGGCGAGCTCCGTGGTTCGACACTATGATTCCGGCTGCTCCTGCTTGAATCGCTATCCTTGCTGCATATCCAACACGGAAACAGCATTCAGACTCTCAATTTTTTCCAGAGATGACCCAAAAAAAAAACACGCGAGTGGATAACGGATAACGGATAACGGTTCTTTTCTTCCTACCGTCCTCGGCGGTCAGGACACCCTTCACCAGAATAGGTAGCTTTGTTATACCCTGCAGCCACTGCACATCCTGTAACCGAGAAAAAAAACGCACGAAATCGTTCAGTTTCGATCTGCACATTGACAGAACAGGAGATGCAAAGGTAGTCTGATCATTCTTGAATCTTGATGTGCAGACTGTTGTGTCACTCACCTTCCAGCTCAAGGTACGGTCGATCTGTCCAGCGACGTAAGAAGCTAGTCCAGAGTCATTGGTCTGCAGAATCAAATCGAAACGTATTAACAGAGTCATCGTTCTCGATTTCTAATAACGCTCTTTTAACCATAAACACGGCCTTACCATATCCATCTTCCCGAGGTTTAAACCTTCGAAGTTCTTCAATGTCAAGTTGGGCGGCAAGGTAAACCGGTTCTTGATGTCGGATTCTCTCCGGCCGAGCCTCGGGGTGTCAACTGTGAGAGCAATGGCCTTGAAACCGGCCCTCTCTGCTCTTCTCACAAGCTGAGCCACCACGTTCCTGTCCTTGTAAACCTAAAAACCGGACAATAGAAGCTGAATCACGAAGCTTTCCGATTCGATGAAAAAGTATATAACTTAAGGTTAAGCTTACATAGAGCTGGAAAAAGCGAATTCCGGGTCCCGTCGAAGCAACTTCTTCGACGCTAGAAGTGGCCCATGACGATAATGTCTGGAAATAAACATCAAGAGTTCATGATTCCAATATAAGCGTTTAACGGAAACAACTGATATAGTTCCAAGGAAATCAGATTGCTTGAACATGTAAAGAAGTTACAGAATGTAAACCGATGTTTCTACATACATACATACATACATACATACATATACATATATATATATATGATTCTTGTATTTATGTAGAAGGACTTTCAGAGACAAACCATGATTGTTCCAGCAGCTGAGGCAGCACGAGCCGTCGCGTATTCACCTGAACAAACCCAAACATGGGATCAGAATGACTTAGCCAGTTCATATATCTCACTTAATTCAATCCAGATTCAAAACATGTTCTTAGAACAAATTCACTTCATGGGCACACAATCAAGGTATATCCAGAGATCAACATATTCCAATCGAAACGGATCAGATCATGGATCATTGCCTTCTGGGTGAGCCATCTTCTGAAAAGCGGTGGGAGCAACCATGATGGGCATCGATATCTTGAATCCCAAGACGGTAGTACTAATATCGATCTTGCTAACGTCGATCAGAATCCGAGGCCGAAACCTTGTGGTTTTCACCAAACAAAGAACACGGTCACTGAAGAAAAGGGATCCGAAGTTACTTGTTCAACAAGCAACAAATTCACATATATGTAAACCCTCACAGGATTCTGGAGAAGGCGTTTCGGTTCTCTTGAAGAGTCCACTGGTCCTCCGCACCTGAGGCGTAGTAATCATACGCCATCTTTGGCAACTTCTCCCTGGCGATGGCTTCATACTCGTTCACGTTAGTGATCTCCATTGCAGCTCCTTGCCTCGATCGATCTCCTGGAGAATTCGCAAAACGTAGAAATCGATTCAGATTTTCAATTAAAAACACAGTTCATTTTACGTGTTTTTATAATCCTCGTATGTATCATAAACGCAAGAAGAAAATCTGTAAGGAACCTTTGCCAAGATGGATGAACTGAGACCTGAAGCTCAGAAAGAGAGGCAAAGTACAGAAACTAAGTCATATAATGGGTTTCTCCTGCAAGATGACAAAATATAACTGGTGGGCATATACATACATATGTATGTATGCATGTACAATATATGTGTATGGTAAATGATGATGGAAAAGAAAAGAGGATGAGAAATTGGAGGTGAGGATTGAGAGAGGAGATAGAGCCAAGAGATGTTCTTATCCAAACAATACCCATTTTTTTGTGGTGTTTAGTGTTTGTTATCTTTTTCATTTTCATTTCTCAATAATATGATTGTGATTAGTCAAAATCATGTACAGAAGAAAACCTATATGAGAATATTTAGTTGACTGTATATTTGGTCGTTTATGTTGTAATAATGCGTTCATTAGGAGGATTGCCAATCTCGGCTTTAGATTTGTTTTTTTTTGTTCGGTTAATTTTCTGTTAAAATTTTGGATTTTTTTTTGTGTGATTATTTCTTGGTTCAGCTTTTTTTTTAATTTTAAAAAAACTATATTTGTAGATTTTTTTTTATTCGGTTCCGATTCTAAATTTGATAAAAGAGTAACTATTCCTTCCGGTTATTGTTTCATGCTTAACATATGGTTTAGATAAGATTCGATTCGGTTCCATTATTATTTTTCTTTAAATGCGAATTTTATGGATTGGAAGATAAGATTTTGAAGGAAAGTTGTGGAGAGAAAATTTTTTGTTTTTTTTTTATAATTATGGCAATTTCTATTTGAATTTACAATCCGTGACCTTATACGCTTTTTTTAGCCCTAATATTACCCTATTTTGTTTTTAAAAAAAGATAAATAATATATTATCCAAGGATTCTCAGTGTTTTGTGATATTGTTTCCTAGAAATAGAAACGGTGATTTTGCTGTTTATATGTCAATAAATTTATAATATATCATCATGTCGAAATAATTAAAGGTTTAGAAATCGCAAATGATATTTATAACATTGTCTTCCAGTATATTCCTTAGATATAAAAGTATTGTAATCAAATTTGAGCTGAAAATAAATTCGAATATAAAATACCCGAAAATATTATAGAAATAAAATATTTTTAGAATAAGTATTTTTTTTAATTAAAATCTATTCAAATCAAACCAAATTATAACAATTCTAAATTATAAAATTCACAATAAAAGAATAACTACATCAATCCGTTTAATAAAAAAAAATTCTTCCCCCCAAAACAACTCCATGCACAAAATAAAATTTTTAAAAAAACAATTGAACTCCGAATTCGGAGCGAGTGTGATCACTAGATTTTATTATGTTGTCGGATTATAAATATTTCATGAATGAACGGTTTGATGCGTTAAGGTTGGTGAGAAATGGGGGCCATAACGAGTCCAATCAGACCAAACATGCGAATTTGGTAATTAAATGATATTTTGGGGGGTTTGATTTAATTTACAAAAGATTTGGTATCGGATTCCAATTGTTAACACTAAACTGAGCCCAGCCCATGAGTGTGACATCAGCCCACCTTTAATCGCCGATCGAAAAACGACGCCGTTTCGAGAGATCAATATCTTTTTTCTTTTGGGGTTCGGGTTTAGGAAATATAACAAATAATGAATAATTCGAATTGAATTTTTCTTATGTTAAAAATATTTTCGGCATTCGAACAGCTATTTTCCACGCGTAAAACGAGCATTAGCAAGCTGCAGTAAGGAGGAACTGATCTAATGATGTCTTAAGACGATGATGTCAGAACCACATTGGAGTGAGAGAAAACAAAAACCCTAGATCGAATCATAAAACCCATGAAGAGAAAACGACGGCAACCACGGAAGGAGGTCGCTTTCAATGAGAACGCCATTAATGGCGGCTACTCAGATTCAAGAAGGTTTATAACGGATGATCGATCAGGCATGCTGGGAATTGCGCCCTTCACTCGAACACAAAGGGAAGCAGCCGCGGCTGCAGAAAACAGAAACAGAGATCGAAAGGGGTCAGCGGGAATATACGTACGAAGCGAAATTCGGAAGCTATGGTAAGGATTTTACCGGCAAATCTTAAGCATTGTTCAGGAGACTTGGCCTCGACCATAGCCACTGCAAAGGCCGCGGTGAAAGTATCGCCGGCCCCTGTCGTATCGACGACTTCTGGGGCCGGGATTATAGGTTGCTGGATCGGTTTTCGCCCTTGGACGAACAAGGCTGATCCTTTAGAACCGAGTTTCACTAGAACTTGCTTAACTCCCTGCAGAAAGAAAGAAAAGAAAAAAACTTTGATATGTTGTGAACAGGTATCCAAACCCGAGGTCCAAATACAAAATTTCGATTTTTTTTCAAAACATGTACCGTATATCTCAAAACATGTACCGTATATCGGGGTTGACTTGGGTCAAGTACCGAACTTTTCGGATATCCTAACCCAAACCCAAAATTTCGAGAGATTTGAATTCAAAAGCAAGGTTGGTATGTAAATTGTTGAAAATTTACAAAAAGAGAGAGATAATTTTACTGTTCATTCACATACCCGCGGGTAATATCAGTCTCGAACCTTATTTTTGAGTTTTTTACATGACCAAACCCGATCTCATCTCATACAATAGACGGGTACCCGAATTTCGGGTATCCAATACAGGGGTCGGGTCAGTCGGACATCCGAAAATCAGGGGTTTTCCGGCCATACTTGAAAGACTGATATCTATGACCTGAGAGGATACATGAGCAATTGGCAACCTAAAGCTACAGATCTCCTCAGTTGTGTAATTAAGACAACGAGAGATTCTAAGTGACAATCAGAAGCAAATTCCTGTCTAATGTGCAGGAAAAAAAAACACTTACCAAGTCATGGCACTTTGTGACGGCTCGGCTAATCTGTTCGAATGTGTCGGTAGGCATTCTGGTCAGGCGAGCTAGCTCGGTTTCATTCGGGCTCAGGATTTCGATGGAATCCAACAGTTCTTGAGGTATCGGTGCATCCATTCCCCCGACATCGAGAATGACTGGAACACCTGCTTTCTTCGCAGCCTGCATTTCACAGTTCACACCAGCACCATGATTGGAGACAACCCTTCAAAGGTATATATATATATATACACACAAGCACCGAAATCTATGAAGCTCATATTCCACATCATCTTGATATCAGAATGTATTACCAAGCTTACAACCATTCTCTCTGAAGATATGATATGTCCTAACCCAAAATCTATACTGCAGTTTCTTCTGAGTTCAGAGCAGAGATGATAAAAAACGAAGCAATGATTTTTTTTATTATCGGTAATCAGAGAAATCACAGAATGTAATGTGATCATCGACCTTTGCAACTTGAATGTTCACAAAATCAGGGATTTCCCTCTGAAGAAGAACAACCCCGAGAAATAGAAACGGTGATTTTGCTGTTTATATGTCAATAAATTTATAATATATCATCATGTCGAAATAATTAAAGGTTTAGAAATCGCAAATGATATTTATAACATTGTCTTCCAGTATATTGCATTCCTCACGACCTCCAGATCATCTTCGCTCAGGTTCTCCGACCATGAACTCATGTTTCCCCCGCCGACAATGATGATCGAGTTCTGTCCGTCCGGCTGCAGCATCACCACCGCGTGCCCCGTCGGCGCCTCCGTCCCCGACCGGACATAGTCCAGCTGGACCCCACACCCGGCTCCCAAAGCCTCCTCGATCAGCTTCCCGTGCGCGTCGTCTCCGAGACGGCCGACGAAGAACGTCGGATACAGCAACTTCGCCCCGCACGCTGCCTGGTTCGCGCCTTTTCCGCCGGCGAGGGTCTGTCCTGTCCTCGCCGAGATGGTCTCCCCTTCTTTTGGTAGTCTCTCGATCTCCACGTAGATATCGGCATTCGCCGACCCAACCACGACGAGCGGCGGCGCGTGGGAGTCACGCGCCCAGTGGGTTCGCTGGTTTGCCGATGGATCGGCTGAGAGCGAGAGGATTCGGAGGGTTTTCCTGGGGATTGGGCGAAAAAAACGAGGTGGGTTTGGTTTCAAATTGTTGACGGGTCTATTTGTCGATTGGGAGAGTGAAATCGCTTTCATCGTCGTCTGCTTCGGCCAATTTCAACGTAAAGTTTTGACCTTTGAGGGAACTTTCCGGTTCACCGGCAGTGCAAGTGAGGAGCTTCGGAGGTGAGAATGAACTACAAGCTTCACGCGCGTGCACGAGCGGTGCAATACACGAGTCCGCTAGAAGAAAAACATAAATCAGACGGATAAATTGGAATTATTATAGTATTCAAGAAAAGATAAATCAGTAATCTTTTTTATGGATTTAGTGATTGACATGGAGACCTTCCCATCTCTTCTTCTCCTAAACATAAATATCTAGATTTGGTTATATTGATTATCTTTAATATCTATAAATATATAATCTTAAATTTAAAATACCATAATATTCTTTATTCAAACATTTTAATATTTATTCAAATAAGTTGGTTTTTATATGTAAAGATAAAAATCTATATTTCTTTATAAAAAAAAAGAAGCTATGCTCGAAATTTTCCAAGTATTTGAACTTTCTGTTTGAGAAAGAAGGTTTCATAGGCCAAGAACGATGATATAATTTCCGGCCCGGTTATATCAAAACCAGTTTAAGGGCAATTTGGTCTTTTCTCGATATAATCTTCTCAAGTACAAAGTATTGAATAATTACACATTTATATCTATTAGAACAATAAAGTGAATAAAATGGGGCCCCCTTTCTTCTAGACATTGCTATATTGGCCAATTGAATTCGTCGATTTGGAGCCACACAAATATAATCGATTAGACGATGCATAATGGACATTTATTGATTTATGGAGTTATAAAAATTTGAAAACGGAAGGGCATAAACGTTACTAATAGTAAAATAATGTCTATAAAGACCAAACAGAGAACGACCAAAAATCATAGGGAACTACGACATGGCTTTTATAAATCAAGATAAATAAATAAAAAAAACCCATGCTCTTTTATTTTTATTATATGACTCCACAACAACAACGAAGCCTAAAAATCTATTACCGGGGCATGAAAAAATAAAATAAAATGCATTGTTTTTGTTTTTGTTTTTATAAAAGACACGTGAAACTATTACTAATTTCGATTAATTCAATGCGGATTATGTTAAATTATGAATTGTCTTGTAACTTATTTAAAACATAATTTCGAAAAGAACTGCTATTTCTTTTTTTTTTTGGATAACCGATTGTTTTGAATCGAGATTAAACTAATTTTGGGGTCGAGAATAAATTATATAATTAGAATATGCACGGAACAGACATTTTACGTATACGTTTCACCGGTTGAGCTATTCGAGTCGGGTATAACTGATATCTTTAGTATATTGTTATAATTGAATATATTTTCACAAACCAAACCCTAGTCCTCAAGGAGGAAACTGTGATTGGACCAATTATGTTAATATTTCGTAATTGATAAGTACAATATACAAAAAAAGGTATGATCTTACACCCTTATGAGTTATAACGGACCAAACACATTAATGTGAAGGAGCTACGGTTATGCATAGCATATGGTTTTATTTCATTAGTTTTATATAAAGATGTATACATATGATATTGCGAAAGAAAATGCAAATTCTAGGGAAGTGTGGAAGTGCCATGAATTGTCGACATTGAATGCTCCCAACTATTATATTCATATATATATATATATATATATATATATATATATATATAATATTTCCCCTTATTTATAACCACTACGAACAACCAAACTCCAAGAAGATTAAGCAAAACGAGAAGAGAGAGAGAGAGAGAGAATGGAGAAGAGAGATAATCGGGAGAAGAGCGGCAACGGCGGAGGGGCGGCGGAGGAGGTGAGCGCCGGGATCCGTACGACGGAGACGATGCTCCGGTTGGCTCCGGTGGCACTTTGTGTGGCGGCTCTTGTTGTCATGCTCAAAGACTCTCAGACCAATGACTTTGGCTCTGTTTCTTACTCCAATATTTTTGCTTTCAGGTACATATACACACACACACATATATAGATACGTCTTCATCCACACATACATGTACACATATATGTAAATATGTATAACATTTTTATTATTATTATTATATTGTTTTATGGGTCTTGTTTGTTACATAAAACATAAACATGTTTATAAGCCAAAAAAATTCTTGAACATATCGAATTGATTTTCATTAATTGGACTGCTTTTATACAATTTCATTTGACCAACATACTTAGAATGGACAGCTATTTCCTCGCCAAGGACAAGAGCTCTCGTGCCCTCCGTTCAGCTTTTTCCCTTGATAAAATAAAATAAAATCCACAATTCTATGAAGTAAATATTATGAAAACATTTACAATTGGTACAAGAGTCTTTCATTTTGAGATTCATTTACACTTGATGAATCTCAAAATGTTTTCACGAAATTGATTAATTTAATTTATTTTTATTTTTGAATAAAAATGGCAGTGATTAGAAACATATATATATATATATATATATGAAAAATGGATGTAGGTATTTGGTGCATGCAAATGGAATATGCGCAGGTTACTCTCTCTTGTCGGCGGCTATTTCAGCCATGCCTCGCTCTTCCTCCACCTTGCCTCGCGCTTGGACCTTCTTCTGCCTCGACCAGGTGATTTTTCCAACTCCCCATTTTTTTTGTGTTAATTATAACATGAAGATATAAATTTTAAAAATCTCAGACATAATTCATTTAATTTCATGATCACAATAAATACATAGTTAAATATATACACATATACATATATATATATATTATATATATATAAATTGTGTGGGTCACTATATATATATATATGTGTGTGTGTTATTGTTCAACTCGAAAGTCGTAATTGTTATTGAAGAAAATTTTAATTTTATTGTTCTGAATTGCGTGTCATCAATTAATGAGATGAAGTGCGCGTCACATGTTTTTGTTATTTTTGGTACTACAACATTAAATAATCCGTATCAACTGCAACTGGTTTTGTTAGAAGGCAACAAACATATGTTGAAATTGCACGAAACTTCCAAAAATGTGAGTATATATATTATATATCTAGACATATTCAAAATCTCAAATGTCATTTAATACCCTATTAGAAAAATAAATTAGAAAACGAACGAATCCAAATGTTTGCAGTTCCTATAAATGTAGATATAACTTCGAGACGGGTAGTTGCTTCCGCAAGAAATATTAATTGTTCATTCCCTACCCGACACTAATAGAATTATCAAAATAGATTTTCGAAATTCGATCGATGCAAATTCATTTCATTTTATCAATTTGATAATCGTATCATTAGTTTTTGTTGGAAAAGGAAAGAAAATAAAAATAAAAAACAGTTAGGAAAATAATCCAATAGGACCTTTATAGTTTTCAAGAACACGATGAGAGATACTAACATAAATAAAAGTGATGCCTATTAAAAAAATGTTAACAAAAAAAAAAGTGTATGACTTTTGTTTTGTTCTTTTAAATTGGAATGATCATGACTTTCAAACTAATGAAATGATTATAAAACTTAAACTAATGTTACAAAGTTTGGTGAAAAGTTATAATCTTCTAACAAAAATCTTGAAAACATCAAAATTCGTGCTAATATATAATCTTTTTTTTTTTTTAATTTTCGGATCATCAGCTTCTGACCTACCTGGTGTTAGCTGCGGGAGCAGTGTCGAGTGAAGTATTGTACTTAGCGTACAAAGGGGACTCAGCAATCACGTGGAGCGAAGCATGCAGTTCGTACGGTAACTTCTGTCGCAAGGCAACTGCTTCGGTCGTCATCACGTTCGTGGTCGTCGTCTTCTACGTGGTTCTGTCTCTCGTCTCTTCCTATAAGCTCTTCAGTCGGTACGATGTTCCTTCCGTCGGATCCGACGGCAAGTGTATTGAAGTCTCTGCCTTCGGCGGTTGAAATTTGAGTTTATGTTTGTTTGCTTACAAACCAGTTTGTCCAACTCGAGACGTAATAAAAAAAAACATACGTAGTACGTACGTGCGTGCATGCATGCATGTCCTTCATGCCTTTTGCTTGCTAGATAATATGATTCTATGAATGCCTTAAACTTTGTCTTATATTTTACATAATCGATTTTTTTTCTTGCTCTTCTTGTATGCATAACGTTCTTGTTTCTTTCTCCTGTAAAAATAAAAGATTTAAGAGGTTTCCTTATCGGTTTTTATTTATACAATGGACCTGACCACGACCCGAATAAATCTAATTATTCTGAAACCAAAAAAATCGAATCCGAATCCAAATTCGAATTGAATAAAAAAAAAATAACAGAATAAAACCGAAAAAGTCTTTAGAAAATGAATAAAATAAAACCAAACCGATTATACAAACTAAATTAGTCTAGACTTTGGTCCAACTCTGGTCGGAAAAAAAAGAAAGAACAATCAGCAACAAAGCTCGGCACACAAATCGTCAGAGATAAGTATACTGTTTAATACATATAATTGTAGAAAGCTAATGATCTCACACCACGAGAGTTTCCTTATTATTTTTACTAATGGAATTTAGAAAAAAAAAACAGAGATTGGATTTCATGAAGTGATCAAGAACATGATAAGGGAAGTGTTTAAGCTTTAGAAAGAAGCCGTCCCTCTACTTTTTTCCACGGCTCCTGATAAGGGAATGCCGCTTCAACAGCTTCTGGGAAGGAGTTCGGTGATCATCCTGCATCAAATGTTCGGAGACACCAAAATCAGATCCTATCACTTTGGAGAATTAAAGAAGGGATGGAAAGATTTAGGACCTTGCAAAGAGATGCGGCTGATTCCGATTCCATTGTCTGGATCTGCATGTTCTCGAGCGAGTGGAACGAGTCAAGGGCATCTACAGTTAGTTGCCACCCGCAAACGGCCTCGGTGAAACCCGAAGAGCTTGAGCTGTTGCTGCTACAACCGGCTGCTGCCACATTTTCATTCACCCACGGACAGTAACAGTTGTGGTACTTTATCGGGTCAAACTCCATGACTTCGTCATTGCTTTCCCCGATTGGTGGCCCTGAAAATGCATCGGCATGTGCTCGTATTGACATTTCCAACTACAGCGTTATCGGCTACAGGTAAATGTTCTCTAGTAGAGAAGCATGAGCCAAAATTTTCAGATGGGATCAATACATGAGTTTATCTGATTTCATTCCTATGGTTTAGTCTAGTCTAGCCCAAAACATATGGGATTCTTCATTTTTCTCCAAACAGAAGGCTTTCATTTGGGTCAAGTATAAGAGGAGATAAGGTAAAAACCTCAAATGCAAACCATTTAACAAGTTTGAACGATTAAAGGAAGAGATCTCTAGAGTCACGAACCTTGGTCATTGGCGGTGTAACTTGACCCAGGAAGTGCGAAACCGGTTGCGGATGGAGACTCCTTTCCAGTCTGAGTCACTTCCTCCTTAGATGCTTCATAACCGGAACACATGATGGCATTGCAAGACAGGGACGGGTGAACACTATCTTCATTCACCAACCCATGGCCATGCATGTTACTCATCTTTTCACCACTCTCAACAGATTCTACCTTTATCGAATCAACAATTTTCGAGCCACTATCTGCCCTTCCAATGGACTGGGACACCCTATCTTGACTATCCCCGTGCCTATCTTCCCGATTCATTTCTTCTGGAACAAAATCATCAGTAAGGCCTTGTTCCGGTGCAAATTCACCACTTTGCCCCAGATTCTCGATAACTTCAGCAACTGGTTCTATGTCTCCTACAACACTATCTCCCCTATGGACCGAAATGTCAGCTCCATGGATTTCTGCTTCATGGCTTGCACCCATTCCAACACTGCCCCCGCTGACACCTAAACTCGGTCCATCTCTCCCATGCGCAGTGACAGTCTCTGTGTTCAGCACTTCCTCACCATCATTTATGCTGCTAATACCTGGTTCAGCATTAGATCGAACAGGAACTGGTTGGAAGCAAGCACTCTGCTGAGCTTGATTGCTGAAATTCAGTTCTGACGGATCATTCAAATCGGCACTTTGGGCTGTTGCGACAGAGGGGAAATTTATATCATCGAAATCTCCTGGATGGTTCTCCACGCTTTCCATGGAATCATCATTCGGACCGTGGCAAACTGTATCCATTGCAATAACAGAAGAGACATGCGTGGAATCTCTAGTGACTGGGAAAACCATAGCTTGTTCATTTCCTTCACTAAATGGATCACCTCTGTTTACTTCCTTTTCCATTTCAGCGTCCAAAGAGCAGCTAGGGCCTGCAATAGAAGAATCACGTCCGTAAAACGGACGATACGTTTCGCACACATCAGAGCCTCGAGTACGCTTTGAAGGACCTACTGAATCCCGTATACCATCATTAACTTCATCGCCATCACGGTCAACAACAGTTCCTTCAACACTGTCGGCTTGTTGGACCCCTATATAAGGCCTATCAGCTGTGCTTCCACCATCATCCAAGCTCCGTTTACGAGTACTTGGCCCTCGTGATTCATATGAAGCAGCACGATCACCAACTTCACTGCCAGAAGGCTGCCTCCGCAGCAGCTCCCTTTCTCTGTCGGTAACTTGGTAATTATCACGTGTCACCGACATATTAAGCTGTGCAGAGGATGATGCACCACCTGCAGCTTGATGTAAACTTAAACCAACACTAGATACTAATTTCTTCTTCTCTGATGTTGCAGCCTCATTATCTTCGCTTTGCTCTTGGCCCATGACCCATCCATTGATTCCACTAGTAGCACTAATACCACGTGTGATCCCCATTTTCTTGCTTGTTTCAGGAAGATTAGTACTGTTAGGAGCCAATGGAATTGGCCGAGATATGGTCAAGAAATCCCAAATTCTGATGGTCACACCACACAAACTACAATCAAGCAGAGGCGATCTGGACTCCGATTTATACTCTCGACCCAGAGCTTCATAATTTCCAGAGGCCTTTCTGGATGAAGCTGAGAGTTGTTTCCTGCTTGGACCGGGATCTTGAAGATGACCTCGATCTCTGGTTGGACCAGAGGGGTTTCCATGTCTAGCTGATTGGGCAGAATGTTCCTCACAATCTTGGATATTTGGAAGCCATCGAGGCTCCCATCCGCATAGGCTTATCAGCTTTTGTGCCTACATGAAGACAAAAGCTCGAATAAGCAACATTAGCATTGAGGCACATAGTTTTTAAGCAATTTAGGAGCACATATAAACCATGAGTTCTTACACGAGAGTAAACATTGAGTGCCTCTTCTTTAGAGGTTCCAGATCCTGAGGCATTTTCCATTCTATAAGTCAGATCCTCATTGCCATAGAGCTGGGATTGTGCCAACAAACGGTCAATTTGTGATCCCCTTGAAGCACGCATCCGCTCAATGGCACGCAATGAAACAATTGGAAGAAAGTAAAATTGCAGGAGCCCATCACAACGATCCTTATAACCACCAATCAAGGCTGATGGAGGAGTTGGAGGAAACTGAACTAAACTTTCTGGACAGCTATTTCCTCGCCAAGGACAAGAGCTCTCGTGCCCTCCGTTCAGCTTTTTAGAGAATTCTTCCACAGTGCTATCAGCTATTACCAAAATGGATGAGGAAATATAATACATTAGCAGCATATAACCTAGCTCAATAAATCAGGGCTAAGAAACGCTCCAGCTCAAAAGAAAAGAGGACAGCCCAACAGCCCAATACACCAATTCTGACAAATTTACGACCAAGAGTGGAAAATCTTTCCGTGAGTATTGGTTCAAACTCGTTGCTCAGAAAGGCTTTCACAACTTATCCCATTCTCATACAGTATGAAACCAAGACAAACACTTGTATCACGTCCACTGATGCCAAAAACAAGAAACACTAGCATGTAAGAACTAAGCAGGCCTGTTAATATGCTATTGCAGTAACGAGTATCGACCTTCAGGATGATTCAATGAATACTGCATAGGAAAATGCAGGATTGCGCCACAGTATTCGCATTGAATTTTGTCCAGGTCAGCATTGACCCAGCCTCTCTGAGCGCAGGCCAAAGAATTAGCTGCCTGAAAACAAAAGAAAGACAAGACCATTACAACTAAATCGCATGACACAATATCAACCAGCTGGAACTTGCAACACAGGTAAAACGAAAAAAAGACATGAACCAAAAAGGGGGGAGAAAAAATTCAATAAACTATCAGTAAGCTGGATTCTGAAGAATCACATACTTTGCTCTTCTTTCCTTTATTCAAGTGTTTAGGTTTAACACATTTTAGTAACTACACATGCAATGTTTCAACACAGCAATTCTCTGCTACTCAAGAACAAACCAGAAAGACAACCAGATGACCTAAACTACTAGTAAGTGTTTTAACCCCACCAAGCACAAGACAATATTTCCACCTACAACCTTCTGATACTAAAATTTTAAAAATCAGGTGAAAGTCTCATTAAGAATACTGTCAGATGTATTAATCAATAAAGAATTCAAAATGATGTTATTTCCCCGATTTGTCAGATTTCAAAACACGGGCAAAAATGCCTGTAGAAGAACACCAGCTTTTGGGAAATAGCTGGACTTCAAATTTACATAAGTTGTACTCCATTTATTCTCTTTCCCACCAAGTTCTGATCTTTAAGTAATGAACACTTAAATGCACATAAGCAAATGCATGTAACGAGAAAGCAAGTGCCATACTTTGGGTTTCCCAAGCCAATTTGAAGGCTTGAAAGTCGCAAGACGCCTAAGTAAATCTAGTCTATCCCAAGGTCTACATGAAATCCCTGATGATCCCAGACCTGACCAGTTCACACTACCAGCATTCACCGGAACAGCAGGAGATGATGCCCCTGCAGAGCTGATAAATTATCGGAACTGAATTAGCCGACAGCTCCAATGGAAAATGGAATTATTAATGTGAAAATGCAAAAATTTTAGGAACAATTCATGATATTGAATAGAGAATCACATCAAAGCATTCTCCTTCTGATGAAAATGTTGAAAACTACCCACTCTGGGTATTATATACTCCATGAATTCGAGAACTTATGAGAAAACACAGAAAGAGGATAGCATAGAGCTCCATCTAGCTAAGTCTATGCGAAAAGCCAGAAACGAAAGCAAAGCAACGAACCCTAGACAAGTGCGCTCCAATCTAGTAAAATTATTCCCAACCAAACGAATTGACCCACAATTCCAACCCTGAATTTCGATCCGCACATGCGAGGACCAAAGAGAAACGAACCTGGCAGCCGGAGTTTGCGGCGGCGACGGCGATCTGGTACGGCGAAACCTGTCGACAGCGGAGACGGAGGCCGACGCTGAGGCAACACTGTTCCGGTTACTCCTAGGGTTTACGTTCTGCGAGCTCACGTCCTCGTCCTTCATTCTCTCTCTCTCTCTCTCTCTCTCTCTCGAGCTTCACTTTCCAGTTTCCACAAAGCAGGTAAGAAAATTCAGAGCTCCCGAATCTCTTCACGTTTTTCTTTTTTTCTTCCCCAACCTTTACGTTATTTTTATTTATTCTTTTTTATATTCACTTTGTTTTTTTCTGAAGGATATTATTATCTTCTCATTGCATGCCACGTCATCATGATTCAACGGTTTAGATGAAGCCACGTGTACGATCGGCAGGGGGGGAATATCTTACCGGGCCGGACTACGTAAAAGGCTTATCATTACCATTTACAAATTTAGTCCGTAGGCCCAATGTTGTATTTCGCTTGTCATATTTGATTTTTTTATATTTTTTGCCTTATCGGGAATCCGGTAAAATTCTCAGGCCCACAACCCACACCCACACCCACAGTCTTCTCTTCCGTTATGCCCCGCCCTTCTTTGGTCTACTATCTCTCTCTCTCCCTCTCTCTCTCTCTCTCTCTCTCTCGGCGAGATCATCGCATTGGGTTTGATTCTATCTAGAACTCCAAATCCCAGGAAAATTTTCGGAGTTCCGCGTTTCCTGCATCGTACGTGAGTAGAAATTCGTCTGAATTTCTTCTCTGCATATGTGAATTGCTCGAATTCTCGCTGATGCCGGAGTTTGAGCGAGGTAACGTCTGATGGTTCGCTGAAAAGTTTTTTGCCTTTGATTTTTCGGCTTCTGGGATTTGTAGAGATGTCATCGATGCTGGTTCTTGTAGGTACAATGCCATCAATGGCTTCTCTAGTTAGTCTAGGTGGTTCCGTTGTAAGTATCGCCGGAACAAATTCATCGGATGCATCATATTCTTTAGTTAGGAGGGTTTCGTTGTCGACAAGAAATTTTGAGGAAGGTAAGAAATGGGTCTGTGGATATTCCGTAACGAGTTCCACTAGTACAGCTACTGCCACTTCTGACTTCCTTGCTGAACAAAACCACTCGGTTCCCATAGATTCTAACACAAATGCAGGGAGTAAGGACGAGGATGATGGTGAGATCGTGCTTAAGCCGGCTCCTAGACCCGTGTTAAGACCTAACCCAGCCAAGGGAGAAGGTGCTTTTGGGGCAAATTCTGTGTTTTGGAGTGATGGATCGTTAGATGATGAAGAAGGGAGGAATAAAGTGATTGAATCTCTTGGCGAGGTATTAGAGAAGGCCGAGAAGTTGGAGAACTCGAAGCCAAGTAAAATTATAAATGAGGGTAACGGGACTGGTAAACCATCTCAGCCAACTAGCAGTAATAGTTTGAGAAATGGTAAGTCTGGGGTTGTTGGGGAGACTATGAAAGCTAAGACCATGAAGAGTGTGTGGCGGAAAGGGGACACCATCACAAAAGTGCAACAGGTTGTTAAAGATTCGGCCAAAGTTGATAACAGAGGAGTTCAAATGGAATCTAGGTCAGAGGAGGAAAACATGAAATCCCAAGCAGCCTCCGTCCATTGCCTCCTCCTCAACCACCTGTAAGACCACGGCCAAAGTTACAAGGAAAACCTATGGTTGCTCCACCACCGGTAAAGAAACCTATCTTGAAGGACTCTGGTATGGCTTCAAAACCTTCCGCTGTTGAAGGAGTCGATTCTGGCACTAATCGGAAGCCGATTTTGATTGATAAATTTGCTTCTAAGAAACCTGCTGTTGACCCTTCAATCGCCCAGGCTGTTTTGGCCACTAGGAAACCTGGAAAGGGTCCTCCCTCTGGCAAGTTTAGAGATGACTACCGTAAGAAAAATGCATCAGCAGGTCCAAGACGAAGGATTGTTGATCATGATGATGACGATATTGCCGATGAAGAGACCTCAGAACTAAATGTATCCATTCCTGGAGCAGCCAGAAAAGGGAGAAAGTGGAGTAAGGCTAGTCGAAAGGCTGCAAGACTCCAGGCCGCCAAAGAAACAGCACCCATTAGAGTCAAAATCTTAGATGTGGAAGATAAAGGCATGTCAATCGAGGATTTGGCCTACAACCTTGCCATTGGCGAAGGTGACATATCTGATCTTACTTTGTTGCTGTGTTTAGGTGCGGGCTCTTTTTGATGACATCGGTAAAAGAGTTGATGAAGCTGGACCCTCTATGCCTGTACAGGTTTGTAGTTTTGTGATTTTCTCTGTTTCCGTATCTCTACTTTGTCCCAAAATAGTCTATGGAGCAGATCGTTTTCATTATCTTGACTTCAAAATTATTAGCTTCATTCTACTCATGGCTCTGAGATATGAACGAGGATCCTAATTGCTTCTGCAGGTGATTGGATTGAATAATGTTCCCCTTGCTGGTGATGGGTTTGAGGTTGTCTCCTCCCTTGATGCAGCACGTGAGATGGCAGAGGCACGGGCAGAGTCACAGCGTAATGAAAGATTATCAGCTAAGGCTGGGGACGGAAAGGACACGCTTTCATCCCTAGCTTCTGCTGTTTCAGCAAAGAAGATCTCAGGCTTAGATTTACATCAACTGAATATCATTTTGAAAGTTGATTTACAGGTAAATAGCCATTTTCATCAGATGATTCTATGAGTTCATTGGTCTAGACATTTTCTTGATCTTGACAATTCTTGTTATTCAATTTAAGGGTTATCCGTGAATACTTTATTACTCAGAGGATACTCTTACTTTAGTTAGAATATGTCTTCAACTTCTAGTCAAAAATATTTGGGAACAGGCGAACATCATCTAGTTCTAGTAAGAAACTTGTAGATTCATGTCTGGACTGGTAACCATGGGCCATCTTCATCCTTCTGATGGTAGACATCATCCATCACGAAATAGTCATAGCGTTTCTCATCCTATTGATTGTCATAAACTACTCATTTTACCGGCATGTTTATGCTACCAATCAGTAAGAAGTTCCACAGTTTTGACATACCCTGTTTGATGATGATGCTGTCGGTCAAATCTGTATATAAATTGCTTACCTAAATTATCGTTGTGAAGAATAGGGATCAATAGAAGCGGTGAGACAAGCCCTGCAAGCTCTCCCTCAAGACAACGTCATGTTGAAATTCTTGCTACAAGCAACAGGGATGTAAGCAGCAGTGATGTTGATCTAGCAGTTGCGAGTGAAGCCATCATTTTCGGATTTAATGTCAAAGCACCTGGTTCTGTTAAGAAAGATGCAGGAAATAAAGGTGGTGAGATCCGGCTATATAGAGTTATCTATGATCTTATTGACGATGTGAGGAATGCAATGGAAGGACTTCTCGACCCAGTTGAGGTTAGTATTGAGCCCTTTCAGGACATTCTGGAGCATTTCTTCTTGTCTAATCTCACTGACAATTGACAGATTCCTTAATGGTTCTTAGAAAAGTATAAAAATCAATCCTTCTTTACGATCACCACCATTCTAATTTCTAAGTCAGATCTCACATACCCTCTTACAAGTTGCACAAAATTAAGATTTCCTTTTGGATTTCCGCATGGGTTTAGGGTAGACTAGCTCTTTCAGTTTTCTGATGTAACTGTCTGAATTCTCTAGTAGTAATCTGTACACTCAGAGGATATACTGGTTTTGGTTTGTTTCATTCAGATTTCTTTTCCCGCTTTCTAAAGATATGCATATGGCTGTTCGTAGGAACAAGTGCCGATTGGATCAGCGGAAGTTCGAGCTACATTCAGCAGTGGTAGTGGTCGAGTGGCGGGATGCATGGTAAATGACGGAAAACTTGTCAAAGATTGCGGCATTAAGGTAATTCGGAAGGGGAAAACTGTTTACGTCGGCGTTCTTGACTCACTGAAGAGAGTCAAGGAGGACGTTAAAGAGGTAAGGCCCCTTCACCAAATTTCGCCTTTTCTTGTTTCTTTTTGCCCGAAAGAAAAAGGAGAGATAAGTAGCATAAAATATCGGATCCCGACTTACATTCACAGCTTCATACTGATTCCTGGAAGAGAGTCATAAATTGTTCTTCAGTGAAAGAAGGTTTTCAAACCTAAAACTCAGTTCCAGATTCATTGTTCTGCTACTGCAAAAGTACCAATAACGTTTAGGTACTTTTGCCAGTTTTCTATCGAGAAAAATCAAAACTCTCAGTGCCCGGAATCGTATATGGATCTCGGGGTTTGGCTGGAAGCGCTGAAACGGTTTCAGTTTCCGTAAGCAGGAAACAGAAAACCGTGGTTTCGATGCAATATTATATCGGTTGTATCTGCGGCCAACGAACTCGAGGTTGTAAAAAATGATGGCAGGTGAGTGTGGGATTAGAGTGTGGTATCGGCATGGAGGAATACGACGATTGGGAAGGAGACGTGGTCAAGGACTTCATCTCTGTTCAGAAGAAGCGAGCTCTCGAAGAAGCTTCCGCTTCAATGGCTGCTGCAATTGAAGAAGCTGGCATCCAACTGTAATAATAATAACAATAAAAATAAAAAAAAAAGCTCTTCTCTCGCCATTAGAGGTAAGGCCAAGAACCTTCGTCTCCCGTCTTGAAACGGAAACGGAGGTTTAAACGGCGAAGCGAAGGAGATGAATTCAAATGGTGGCTTGGCTTCTGCGGTGGATAATTTTCGCAGCTTGGATCGTTTTGTACGGTGGTAATATATATATATATATATATGCATCCTACGGTA